TCATCTGACTAAAATGAATGTCCTCTAGCTTTTTCTACTGAAAAAGTTGTCTCGTCTGAATCAGGAGATAAATATTCACAGATCAAGCACTGTTTACAAGTAAAAACAGTATAAAAAGAACTGGACTGTTGCCCAGTGATACAAAGTCCGAATTGGTGGGTTTTTGTTAAATGTGAACCAAAATCATCACAATTAAAAGAACCAAAGACTTAAACTACTTCAGTCTGTGTGCATTGAATGTATTTAATACATGAGTTTCACAATTTGAGTTGAATTACTGAAATAAATGAACTTTTCCATGACATTCTAATTTATTGAGATGCACCTGTACTCATCAACGCTGAGTCAATACTACTCACCCTGAAGCAAGAGCCAGAGGTGGCCAGGTCAGACTGTTCCAGGACTAGATTATTAGATCAGACATTTTAGTAGGGTAATTATTACCAGTGTAACATAATTTTTCATGTAGATGGGGGATCATACTTTTTGTAGTGAAAGCACAGTTTTGTGCCAAAAGAACAGAATAAACAGTATCCGTCTTAAAAAAAAAACAGCAGTTAAAACTTTGAGGGAATTAAAGCCTCTGAGATGTATAAAGAAAGTGGAAACTATTCTTTCTTCTTTTTTTTTTCTTTTGTCTGAGCGGTAGGTCTGTGGAAACGAGTCCAGATAATTTAATTTAAATTAAATTAGTGTAGGTCTGCATATGACCTATAAATTTACATAATTGTTGAATACAGTATTAGCTGGGTCTTCAATTTTTGCTTCACTTCAATGAAAGAGATAACGATAGATATTCTTTCTTATTTTTTTTAACATACACATTTTAAATCCTAAAGTTACACTCCGTAATTTTTATTTCAACATGTAGTACATGTCAGTAGATAACATGTTATGAATATTTTTTGTTAGTTTAAAATCCGGCCATCATTTTTTAATGTTTTTATTTCACTGCTTATGCAAACAATAAGTGCATAGTGCTGCTAATTTTATTTATTGGCTTTTGTCATAAAACTTGGTAAAATGATTTCAGTGTGTGTATCAGTACTTCTTTAATATTTCCAGCACATTTTAACAATGCCGTTAAAATTAATTCATTTAAATTAATTTAATTTATCCTAATCAAATTACCGATCTATTTTTTGTTAGTTTAAAATCCGGCCATCATTTTTTAATGTTTTTATTTCACTGCTTATGCAAACAATAAGTGCATAGTGCTGCTAATTTTATTTATTGGCTTTTGTCATAAAACTTGGTAAAATGATTTCAGTGTGTGTATCAGTACTTCTTTAATATTTCCAGCACATTTTAACAATGCCGTTAAAATTAATTCATTTAAACTTTTATTTTGATGGGTTGCCGTGAGGAACTTGCAGCTGCTGTGTGATATGATGGCAGTTTTGTCAAATTAAACTGTAAAATGCTAATGAAGTGACTCTCAGAGCAGCTGGAGATTATATTCGTGTATTCATATCATCATAGTGAGACGACAGAGGCTGAAAACACCGCGAGCATCGTCCGCACTTTAGTAAGTGTGTAGTAAACAAAACAGTGCGTTGCACCATCCGCCATTCATTCATTAATTCATTAATTGCGGAAATCATGTAGCTTTTACGAGTGATGTCAAATGCTTCCACAGATTTGTAGTATTACTATAGAATTTTACCTGAGCATTGCAAATCACGCATATTGCTTTGTTCGTGGTTCTTGTCAACGGCTTTCCATTGTAACATTGCGTAAGGGTGACATCTAGTGGAGAAGACTAATGATAAGATTCACATTAATCAGATCTTGTTTTAAATGTTTGCTGAAATAAATACAGGAAAAGATTGATTTGTGGCTTTTGAGAATCGATATCGAATCAATGTCATTTAAATAAACGATTAATGGAAAAATCGATTTTTTTTTGCCCAGCTCTAGCTGTGTATAACAGTTTGGATTGATATTTAAGAGATTCAAGTATTGTATAACATTGGTAGCTCTCAGCCGCTTTCATTTTTAAAAAGTAGCTCCCGAATGAAATAAGGTTGGAGATCCCTGATGTAAAGTAAAGGTAGTGTAATTGTAATGTTTGAAGTGTGTAGGGTTCACTAACAATAACAATGTCAGTAACACCTGATGTACTTGTTACATCACAAGAAGTATGGCATCTACGCTAATATTAGTCTGTTTCATTCTTATTCCGAGGTCACCGTAGCCACCCGGACCCAGTCTGTATCCAGATCAGATGGTCACTGCAGTCACCCGGATCCAGTCCATATCCAGTCCAGATGGTGGAGACAACTCTATAGCCCTGAATGTCAGCAGAGATCATGTAAACTAGATGAGCCCCAAAGACAAATACCCAGTGAAGGCCTCATCAACTGTACGGCCATTGGCACAAAACCTCAGCAAAGACCACGATGAAAAACACCATGTTGGTTCATCTGACCAGAGGAGGACTGGCCCCCTGACTGATCCTGCTTTCTACCAAGGTTTTTTCTCCATTGGGGACACCTAATTTTTGGGAATATTAACGACTTGATTGCAGAGACACTATTTGAAGAGAACTGAACTGAGCTGGATGATGATGACATCACTGAATCAACGATGAACTGACTTTAACTGAAATATTGACTATTTACTTTTGTCCTCTTTTCAGAGCTGCTTTACTGCATAACTGAATTTTGTTTGCATTATTGACACTATTTTGCTTCTTAACAATGTAAAGCTGCTTTAACACACTCTGTATTGTATTGTATTGTCCTGTTTTCGCAGGTTGCTCTGCCTTAATTGGACGTGCCATCAGCGTGCGTGGTGATAGGTGGCGAGGAGCATCGGCATCTTTTAAAAGAAGAATGATGAGCAACACCCGGACGGGGGGGGGGACACACAGAATCTGTGTCGTTCATCTTGTTGGACGTTGTTGGGATGGTGTTATCATATCTTGCTTGTAAGATTAGTTAAATTGTGTGAACCATGGAAATGTTTACTGTTTAGTAACGTACGTTTGTTTCTTTCTTTTCCCCCCAATTGAGTGTTACTGACCATTTATGTTAAGCTTGGCTTATGAACGCTGTAGTGCCATTTATTTTTGATATGCTTTTCTCCTGTTTTTGGATTAGTTAAGGAGTAAGGGAAGTGCACCTGTACATCTGTGGCAGGATGATGCCCTGAAACATGACAATACATTATCTGTTGAGTTTAAATGTATTTTGCAACAATATAGGCTGTCCAATGCAATCTTGGGCTTACTGAGAGGTTGTACCTGGTTTTGCAGATAAGACACCTGCAGATGGTGCAGAAACATGGCTTAGGAAATTGAAGGATGGACAGTAAAAGACATCAGTACTTTCAGCAGACGGAAAGCTTGTGACAGTGACTGTTTAAATATTACATGTCTTGAACATAAAAAACAATTTCACAGGAAACATTTTGGTAAATAAAAAGTGAGCAGCACAAGTGCAGGAAACATTTGAACTTATACTCTAAAACAAGGCCAACACAGATGAAAGCACAACCACTGAATATTTTTGTAAAACATGTTGTTATACTTACAGGAACAGCAGGGAGGAAAGCCATAATATACAGCTGTGCAATCCTGAAAAAGGAGGCATAATGGAGCCTTCAGCATAACAGTCTTTGAACAGTGTGATACCCAAAAAACAGGATAATTGACAATTTCCATAAATAGGATGGAACTGGGTGTCCTATTATTTTTTTTAAGCATTAGAGGCACAAATCTAATTTTTGTTCTATTACCTTTTGTAAGCATTAGAGGCACAAATCTAATTTTTTTTTGTCTGAGCAATTAGATATCCTGTGTGGGAAAAAATTTAGCATTACAATTATGTACTTAAATGTGCTTTATTTTCCATACAACTAGGTGCTACTTCACACTAGAAGTTATTTTTTTAACACAAATCATTTCACTCAGTTTTATGTTAAGCCAGAGACAATACCACAATTTAATCACTTAGTTTTTGTATGTGTTGTCACATGACAGAGGGTTTCAGCTGTCAACAACATTATATGAGAATAACACTAGATTAAAATGTAATGCAAATCTTTTTTTTTCCTGATGCTATAAAGTTTTCTTTACATTGATATTTAAAATGATAATTTTTTTAAAAATAGGATGCAGTTTAAATAATACCTTTTGTTGGAAACATTTGTTTTAGAAATCATTTCCATATAACTTATTCAGCACTTAAGTAAAACATTGTGTATACTTTCATTCCAAGAATTTTGAACTTCTTGAAATTCTTGAGTAGGCCCCCCACTGTCCAAAGCCTCTTCCATCAGCCCAGCATCATCTGTGAATTTCACCATCAAGCTGCAGGTGGGGTCAAATGAGGATCGCCTGAAACCTCTTAAGGCACCATCCCAGACATTCTCCTGGTTAATGTTAAATCTGCTACAGGATGTTTTGTTAAGATTATGTGCCAGATTTGACACTATGTCTGCAGCTGTCAGCCCATCACTGTAAAATAATAATAAAAAAAAAACAGTCCACAAACAGCAAAAACTATTAACACTGCAGCTTCTTATTTTTGTGAATTAATAAACCATGATATATTTTTTTTAGTATTTTATGGGCCCTTTATAATGAGTAAGCTATACAACACTGCTCAAAAATAATAAGCATAATTTGGACATCACAACTTTAGTAACAGATTTTGAGAGTCCTCCCACAAAGTCACATTTTTCTGGTAAAGAACAAGGTGCTAATAGTACTTCTTATGTGATAGTACCTGTCTTTCTCTGGCAGTTTCTCAACTTCCTCAAAATCCGAGGAACTGCTGTCGATGGTGATAGGTACATAGATATGTGTATATGTACTGTGGAAGGGAGGTACAAGAACAACAATAACACAATTAATCCATAAAGTATTCTGAAAAAAGATGTTTTGTTGTTTTGGCTGTAGTCCAGTACTTTAGTCCAACAGGTTTATTTCAAATCCAGTGAAAAATTATGTAAAATCATTTCTTATGACTGACCTGTAGAAGGTCAGTAGTTACAGTCACTTGACTTCAGTTGAGTTCACCCACTGAGGTGGTCATCTGTTTGGGTCTTGTTGCACTCTTGGCCTGTAGCATCGACAACACCACACAGCACAATAAGAACTTAGAATAATAATCACAGAAATACCCAGAAAATAAACAAATTCTGGCTTATTATATTACAGAATATGACATACTTGCCCATTAGATGACTGGGTTGTTGTGGCTGACCTAAAACATACAAACAATTTAGTAGAAATTGTATTACAGATAACATAAAATGCTTCCTATATAGCAATTTTAAAAATGAATGCATTAAAACATACTGACATTCAGCTTGCACAGCGACAAAAAAAAATGTGTCAGCAGAAATTTAACTTACCGATGTCTATGCTCTGGTGTACTGCTTTCGGGACTTGACCAAAGCTGCCAAGTGTAAACATAAAATCCTAAACTTATTCATAGCCTTAACACTGTATATGCTTTTCTATTTCTAATGGTTGGCAAGTACAGGAGATTATATTGCATTATAGTTGTACTGTAAGCACAAACATGCTGAACACCTAAATTCCTGAGATGCATCTACCACTGTGTCAGAAAGAGGTGACATATTGGGTTGCGCCCTAACAACAACTTCATCATCATCATCTTCTGAAACCGAGACATCTTCCTGACCTCACAAAAGACTTTGTGATCAATCTCTATTTCCAATTACATGTCCAGTATTGTTAAATATGTAGGCTGTAACTATTTGTAATCCCACAAAGCACTTAAAAAACTTAGTTTTTAGTTTAAATGCACATAAATTATATAAAAACATGCTATTTCAATACTTACTTGGTCAAGGTTTGCTTTAGTTTGTCTCTTGACCCTTTTAGTAATTCAAAGTAATTTGTTTCTAAGCAACTGCAATAGTGTTTCAAAGCAAGCATTTGTGCATTGCTGAACCAAAAGCTTGAAGTAGCAGATTAGCTTACACTTTCTGCTTAACTCATTTGAATGAACATCATAAAGTGGTGTCTCTCTTTGGTTTATTAACTGACATTCAGCTATTATAGAACTGCAAAAAAAAAAAAAAAGTCCTATTAAACAAATGCCACCGTAATGCTTCAATATTGAACAAAAAGAAAGAACTGTATCGGCTCAGGCTTTTAGACATCAGATCCTCAACAGTTTTTCATACTGCAGTGCATGATGGGAGTTTTTACTATGGTGTTACCCAGCATGCATTGCAGCATGAAGCATTTTGTTGATTGTCACCATTGTTGAGATTCATATGCTGGTTCTTGATGTCTGTGTGTGTCTAAATAGTAGAGGAGATATATTTTTTTTAATACATTACATATATAAAAAAATTCATTCACTATAACTATTAGAGCATCACTTTGCTTGCATGCTGTAGTTTCAAAGGGTTGATAAAGCAAAACCTAAACATACAATCAAAAAAAGTTATTTTGGATGTATTCAGGACAGCTCATGATGACTAACTCATCATATAAAACATCATATAAAATAGCTGCTCACTGTACAGCACTAAGCTCTCTATCATTGTAACATGAAGTGTTACAGAGAGCGATCTAATACAAGTCAAGGGTCGTAATTATCTCATTAACTTTAACTCTTTGAGGACTTGGGATTTGACTTGAGACTTGCTTGTGACTTGAAAGGAATGACTTGGTTCCACCTCTGGTGAAATCAGCTGTCTGAGTTCATGGGTGGAATAAACATATGGCAGGACTTTTACTTTCTGACCCCTGGGGTGTATTCCAGAAAGTGGGTTTTGTTGGAAACTCAGTTTGTTAACCCCAGAAAAGGGAAACTCAGGGTTTTCTGTTCCAATAAAAGACAAAACTAAACCTTTCGGTAAGTTACCATACAACGTCGTTACCAACCAACATACTTCAACGATTCGGTGTTTCCCGAAACCATAGTTCAAACGAACATTCGCAAACTGCATCGCAAACTCTTCACCTCTGGTTAGAGGCATAGGTCGTTGTTAGTTTGCTGTGTTGACGTCATTGATTGCGCCGCACCTGGGGTGTGTTCTATTTAGAGTTATCGACCCTATGCCCTATTCCTTTCGAAGACTTCACCATCCACTTTGAGTGATTTGGAAGAGTTAAAGTTGTGGTGCTTAGATCTCACCTAATTCGCCTGTAAATATTTTTTTTATTACAAATTCAGTTTGAAACTATATAGCAGCGTGGCCGTCGCAATTATTCTCCCTTCGAAGTGCCCTCTGAAAGCATTAATCATGCCGATTGGAACGCAGCCTTAGTTTCGTTTGTGCGAAGAAAAGGTGAGTTTGTCAAGTGAGTATCTTTGTTAAAACATTCATGTTACATTCCACTCTTCGGTCTAGGGGTTACAGAGCGGCAGTAACAAAGTTAAAAAAATTTTTTTCAATAAATTAATGATGAGATGTCTCCTTTTCCTCTATCCCAGCTCTTGTCACTTTCACCACTGATATTTCTAATAAAGGCTCACACAAAACCCTCTATTTAACACCATAACCAGAAATATACTTAAGCATTTTTATTAAGGGCTTAAAATAAACCCAAAAGAATATATACAGAAAATATACAAATATCAGGGCAATTAATCAACTGAAATAACCAAGGCGTCAGGAGACAGCAAATGCCAAAATAACAAACAAAACAGTCTTTCTAAAAGTTATAACAAAATAACTTACCTGGCAAAAGAAAACAAAATTAAATACAATAATCTTACCTCTCTCCCTGGCTAAAGAAAAACAGGTGAAAAATGTAGAAGGGGATAAACCCAAATAAATCGGTGCCCATCTCCCTACACTGTTTGACAGAACTAGACTCACACAGAATCTTAACAGCAACATCCTTGTAACCACACTTTAGGTTAACATTTCACAAACTGCTTAACAGCAAATAACACAACCACGTCGCTGGGATAGCGGATAAGGGACTCCTCGTGAGCGGTGTCTCTCTGCTGCTTTATATCTGTTGCACGCTGCCGCTAGTTGCAATTAGCTGCGGATGATTTGGAGAGCTGCTTGGGAGAAGAGAGAGAGAGAAAAAGAGAGAAAGGAGGAGAGAAAAACATGTGACCATATCCCAACATACACAATTACATAACGGGACGTAACACCCCACCATTAAAATCATAAACAACAAATGTGGTTTATAATAAACAGTCATTAATTAATTAGCACGCACTTATTGTCATGACAACAATCAACTAGGTAGAAATTTAAGATCTGGACAATGCGTCAGCAATGATATTATCTGAGCTTCTTTTGTAGCGAATGTCAAGATTGAATTATTGAATAGCAAGAGACCACCGCATAAGTCGTTGATTTGAGTTAGACATGCGTTCAAGAAAAATTAGCGGATTATGGTCTGTGTACACGATTATAGGGGCCACACTACCACCTATGTATACCTCAAAGTGTTGTAGTGCCATCAACATTGCCAATGCCTCCTTCTCAATAACACTATAGTTCTGCTGACACTTTGAGAACTTTTTAGAGAAATAAGAGACAGGATGCTCTACACCGAATTGATCCTCCTGCAGCAGGACTGCACCCACTCCTGTGGCTGAGGCATCAATTTGCAATTTGAATGGGGCATCAAATTGAGGGGCTTTATGTAGTTTTGTACTACATAGTAAATCTTTCGCAGCATTAAAAGCATGTTCACAACTGGGTGTCCAGATAAATCTTTTTGCGGTGCTTAACAAATCAGTCAGTGGGGATACAACAGAGGAGAAGTTTGGGCAGAAAGCACAGTAGTATCCACACATTCCTAGGAACCTATGCAGCTCACGTTTATTAGAAGGAACAGGGTACTCAAGGATAGTAGTTATTTTGGCTTCAACTGGCTTGACCATCCCCTGGCCAACTTGCTTACCCAGATAGGTAACCTTTCCCTTCGCGAACTCACACTTGGCAAGGTTCAAGGTCAATGAGGCATCAGCCAAAATCTGAAGAACCTTCTAGAGGCTGGATATATGTTCTGACCAGGTAAGTGAATGAATAACCACATCGTCCAAGTATACCTCACAGTTCTCCACATCTGCCAACACTGTATTCATCAATCGCTGGAATGTGGCGGGAGCATTCCGCATCCCGAAAGCCAAGACAGAATATTGCAGCAACCTGTCTGGAGTGACAAAAGCTGATATTTCTGATGTCTGATTTCTGGAGTCAGAGGCACCTGCCAGTATCCTTTCAGAAGATCTAGCTTCATTACATATTTAGCGTTACCCACGCTATCCACACAATCTTCCATCCTAGGAAGCGGGAAGGAATCAGCTTTAGTAATATTGTTGACTTTGCGAAAGTCAGTGCAGAAGTGATAGGTGGAATCAGGTTTTGGTACCAGTAAGGAGGACGAACTCCAAGGACTTTGACACAACAAATCCATGCTTCAGCATATACTCCACTTCAGCCTTCATTATGTCATGCTTTTGAAGATCAACTCGATAGGGATGCTGTTTAATCGGGGATGCATCTCCAACATCAATGTCGTGAGAACAAATTGTCGTTTTTCCAGGCACATCTGAAAACAGACTTGGGAATTCATACAGCAATTCAAACAGTTCATTAGCTTGACTTTCACCAAGATGAACAAGGTAATTCTTCAAATTGCTTAGAATAGCAGAATACTGCAATCGTGTGGAGGAAACTTGAACTTCTCGGTTACGCAACCCATCTTCTTCCATGGTGTAGCAGGTAACCATAGCAACAGTGGAAGTTGGCACACTCCCTGTCTCACACGCTTCTTCATCTGTAACTGTCAAACTTTGTTTCACTTTTACACGGTGTAGTCACATACCTTTTCAGCATGTTAATGTGGCACACACGGCTTTTTCGCCTACGGTCAGGTGTATCAATGATGTAATTTGTGTCACTCACTTTCTTTTTAACTATGTAGGGGCCAGTAAACTTCGCCTGGAACACAGAACCAGGGGTGGGTAACAAAGCCAGGACAGAATCACCAGGCTGGAAAGACCTGACAACAGACATCTTGTCATAGCGTGCTTTCATCTTGCCTTGTGCCGTTACAAGGTGTTGTGCTGCCACTTCACGAGCGCGTTGCAATCTCTGACGGAGGGACTGAATATAGTCAGGGATAGTCATAGGGGTCAGATGTTCATTCAACAATTTATAACCATCTCGTATTTTTCTAACACAAAACTAGTTATACAAATTAATAAAAGGGGGATTCAGTTTGCCTAACAGAAGTTTAAGAAGTTAAGATGCTCACCACATAAATGCACATTATTATTTTTATATACCCATGAAAACAAAAATAATAATTGTCACCACAAAAAAAGAAAAATACAAGAAAAAGACAATCAATCACATTATACCAAATAATGTAATGGATAAGTGCATTGCAGGAAATGGGCATTAGGCTGTTCAATAATGTGAAAATGGATGTGTGGGACAGTCTTATCTGATGGTATATAGTTCATCAAACAATGCCCACAGTTAAAGCTATCCCTTAGCCAACGAATAATCCAACTATTTGCGATGAATTCACTCCAAACGATAACAGTTCTCAAGCTCAAGACTTTTCCAAATCAGGTACAGCCATAAGTAAGCCAGAAGCCGCAAGCTTACATCCATCTGGCCTTTACATCCATGTTCAGCTCGCAACATGCAGTTAAAGGGTCCTTCTAAAATACATATAAATAGACTGTATCAACCTTTTAGCATCAAACCCAACATCGCTT